TATTTATTATACATTTATTATTAGTATATTTATTATTAATATATTTAATATTAATGAATGTATTTATAATTATTTATGTATTTATGATTATTTATTGTTTATTTATTATATATTAATATGTAATAATTTTTTAAATTTTTTGTATTTAAACTAGATTCAAATCGGTTTCGGATTGAGACGAACCTGGTCCAATTGAAGATATTAAGCCTTAAACGGGACTTGTCTAATGAATCATAATGAGATTTAAGACTGCATTTTTGTAAGAAATATTTGGCCAAACTCATTGTTTTAGGCCCATACAGGCGCCAAATTTCTCCTATTTTCCTTTTTCTGACACCTATTATCTATAGGGTTAACCGGTTTGTCCAACCATGATACAACAAAAATACATATGGTTTCGCACTGTCGTGCAGCTTACAACAAGTTAATTATTTTAATCAAATATATACAATAAATATATAATTTTATAGAAATTAAAATTTTATATAATATAAATAAATAAATAAATATAAAATTTATTTATTATTAACATAAACTAATTACTCAAACCACACAATTATTAATTTCATAAATTTAATAGAATATATATTCACATCATTATATTTATTAACTATCAAATCAATGCACATCAAAATCCCTAAAATCCACCTAAAGGAACACAAAATTCCAAACATGTCATAAAATTAAAATATAATCCAAACTTAAATTCAATTTCCTTAAACTCCCTCGAAAGAAACACACCCTAAATAATAATTATTTGTTTGGTTTGTACACTGATATGTGCTATATTAGATAAAGCTTTTGTTATATTTTGGGTGATTTTTTGGTGTGAATTTCGTATATATGCTCATAATCGTGTGTTTTTGGGTTTTTTACTAGGAGTTGTGGAGTTGGAGAATTTTAGGCATACTTGGAGAAAAAGGAGTAGAATGCAAGAAAGTTTTGGGCGTGATCACACCTATTATCGTAAAAAAATTACCACCGACAGCTTAATCGAAAAAGCTTATCGGAACTAAATTATTCAAAGGGTTTTCCGGGCTCCTCAAGAAAGGATCCGGGCTATCTCGCAATTTTTAGATGAATAACATAGCAAGAAAGTCAAAATTGATGCCCAGAAGATAAATAAAATACTATAAATTGAAGAAAAAAATGTTGGAATTTCTTAAAAAATGCATGAAAATGAAAGAAATATTCATGTGTGTAGAAGGTGTCTGGATTTCCTTCACGTCTCTAAAATATCGTTTTTTATCCCCTGGATGTCGATACATAATTTGGATAAAGTTTTCTTTTTGGATAATCTTCTATCTATTTTGACCTCCCTCACCAAAATCTCAACCTCTTTTCTATCAAACAACCTTCATGTAGATCATATACACCCCTGAAGGTCGATCTAGAATCTAATCTGATTCGCTCCCTCTGAATTCTTGTTATTTTTAAAATCTTGTTGAATAAAATTTTATCCCTATCTTTTTTCCAACAACTCCAACAACTTTCTAACAATTTATTGACCTTCCTGCCTCGGCTGGGCTGCTTCCAAGTCGAGCTGAACCTCCCTAAATGATGGGCCAGACGGGTCAACAAGTCCATCTATGTACTTTGGGCCGTATGTTGGGCCGCAAATATCCTTGGGTTGCATTCTACGCTGGGTCAGCCTCTCCAACAGCTCCACCTTTTTCCAACAGGTTCTCTCATACGAACTGATCTTCCGGAAGCTGCAGGTGCTAGCCCGACTTTAGGCTGTTGTCCACCACCAAGTTAGGGCTGATTTTGGGTTATGGGTCATATATGCCCCCCACAAAATTGTCTGGAAAAAAATTAATTTGCAGTCCAGATAATTTTGTTAAAATTTACTCGATTTGTCTATCTGTTTTCCTCATTCCGCAAGATCGTAGTTAACCACGTCCTGATCATACCTTTCTTCTAGCTCCCAAAAAGAAGGATAGAACCTTTTAAAATGTCTTCCATTTATAAACGTCTTCAGCTCATCCCCTTCGGGCTCCATCAATCTATATGCTCCACTAGATGACTTAGCGGATATAATAAACGATTTTTCCCACGTGAGGGACCACTTTCCGAGCTTCACATCTTTTGGGTTATCCGGGAGGATGACTTTCTGTACCATGTCACATTCCTGGAAGATCTGAGGCCTTATGTGCTTCCGGAAGGTCAATTTCGGTATTTCTCCTTTGATTTCGAATACATCCGAGGGTCTGCAACCTCTCTTCGGGCAGGGCATTAAACTCTTGGAACAGGGCCTTCTCCGTTTTTTCGGTATCCAACAGGGTGCTGATCTGCATCATCCGATGAGCTGCCTCGTCCCCAAATTGACCTCCTCTAATGGGTCTTGCGCCTCAAACAGTGGGTAGCTCGTTGGATCAGAGAGTAAATTTCATCTTTGCTTTGATGCAAAAGAGGTAGCTGCGAAGGAGCCCCTGCCTGCCTCCCGGGAAGGTAAACAACATGATTTTCAGCTTGTGAGAATGGGAAATTGGACATTTTCTGCTCTTGCCTCCAGATCTTGCAGAATCAGGTCGTTCCATGTCTCGATCGGTGGCCATTACGTCCAAAATTGCTTTAGATAGCTCATCACAATCTAATTCTCCGATCACCGGCTCATCCTCTGGAATCTAGGTTATTCCAAGTACTGCATGACCATGCAAATTAACAAGACAATCATTGTTAGTTATAGCACGCTTCGGCCTCCACTCTTTTCTGGCCCGAAGCTGATAGCGCAAGTCCTCCCTATTAAATTTTGACCTTCCAGCAAAAACTCCTTCCTAATTCTCGGTCTGCTGCCCCCTAGCCTGACTTTCGTGGTCGCAGCCTGCTACCCCTCATCTTGATCTCCATGGAAAAGGCGAGCGGCGAAGCATTTTTGTCTATTCTCCTATTTTGGGTCCTAGTAGGAGGTCGCATCACCTGCTCATTCTGGTTCCTGGTCCAACTTTCATTGTTTGGCCTTATCGAAAAAGCGGGTATGATGTGGTGTAATTACCACTTGATCCACTGACGTCACTCGCCAGACCTTGCCGCCCTTTTTTAAGCTCACTTCTACGACCGTGTTAGTGGGGAAAAGTCTTTCCCACACTGAACTCCTTCTCGGGTGTTTGATTAACCTTCCGAGCCTCTCGAACACTGGTTCAGGGGCCTATAAAGTCGAAGTTTATACCAGTCATTATTCATGTATTCTCCTCCGCATTGAGGAGTGAATCGGCTGACATGCTCGATGGTGGATCGGGAATCTTCCATTGAGAACAACATTAATTCGGGGATCTAAGCATTGCGTGGCAGCGGATGATCCAAGGGAATGTACTCTGGGAATGGTCTTTGGTAGTGTGACCTTTTTGGTAAGCGGATAGGGTCACTATAAATCCTCCGAATTGCATCCTCAATCGCTTAAGGATTTATGGTGGCGGCACTTCTGCTTGTCCCCTAGGCTATTCAGGAGCTATCTGAGTAGGCGGCGGATTGTGCCTTTCCGACTGCGGGAAGACCTGATGAACAAGTCTCCGTTATAGGAAACAAGCTCGACGGCCCTCCGTAGCTTCTCTAAACACTGAGGTCTACTACAATAGTGGATTTCCGAGGGCTGATTGAGAAGAATATTTATAGGTTTATTGCACCCTGGAACCAACAGAAAATCGATCTTCCCTAGCAGCTCTCTGTCCCCAGTGTATCAGGATGGTGTTGGGACTGGTCTCTCTAGTTTCCAAGTCATTCCAAAAGACTTTGAGACAAATGAAGGTGTTGGAATCATTGTCGGCCCTGCCCCCCAGGTATTGAAAGTCTTTTTTCCGGCCATTGAGTTTCTTTGAAGGCCCGGAGTGGGGATTGAGGTGCTGAAAGTAGTTCTAGCAAATAAGGAATTGTTTTTCTTATGTGGAGCTCATGGGATTGAGCCGAAGGTCATCCCAAATCCGTCGGTTGAAGGTAGCCTAGAGAAGGCCTGCCCGGCCAACGCCCAAGATTCTCTAGCCTTCTGGATGGTGATCGGAGGTCCTCCAGATCCGGCACCCCTACCGAACAGAGTAACATGACCATACTTAATGCCTCGGAGGTCGGATCTACTGCAAAGCTAGTTGTAAGGCCCACGGAAAGCAAGACCTCTGGCTGGCTGGAATTGACCACCGGACCTTGCCTTTTCGAGTAACTTCCTCCAAAAGTAACGCAAACTCATTCCGAATAACGGTTTTCAGAAAGTCAGTAATATATCGTGGTAGTTCCAGGGCGGATCTGTGAAGGGACGACCGAATTTCCCCACTAATCTACTATTGAAAGACGTTGACTGGAAGGCTAATGATTAGATTTGGCTTTCCAACAACCGCGGAAGACTCGTTGCATGGGGCAAGTAATCACCGACGATTTTTCTTTTTTTTGAAATATCCATAGTTGTCGGCGATGCCAGTTTTCTCCTCCCAAGTTGCATGCAAAATTCGCGAGACGTCGGCGTCCCACCAGACATGCCAATTCTGTTATCGTAAAAAAGTCGCCATCGACGGCTTAATCCAAAAAACCTGTCGGAATTGATTTATAGTTTTTGGAAACAAATTGTTATCTGATTTCTATAAAAACTATAAAAATAAATGATTGATTAATTAATTATTTATTTATTTCATTAAAAAAAATTATTTAAGATATCTTATAATTTTTATTTGTATAAAATTGAATTAATTTAAGTCTTTATTTACAATCAAATATCAATTTTAATAAGGAACGTGCTTCATGCAAACTTTACCTTAATACAAGTGAATAAAATTTTACACAATAAATAAAACTTATGTGCATTTTTACTAAAAATTTTAAAAAATTATTATATAATTACCTTATTTGTAATAAGGACAACACAATGCTATTTTTCTATCACTCACATACAAAAATAATAAAATAAAATTATAAATTTTTATTATTAACTAATTAAATCGGTAACAAATCAAATCTGTCCATTGTTAAAGGAGTACTATTTTTTAAAACTATGTCACATGTTTTGTGCAATACTATTGGTTTCAATTTTTTTATTTTTTCTGGTGACCGCCCCCGCCTAGAATTGCCTCACATTTGCCGTCCCTCGTTTCCCTCCGCCGCTGCTGCCCTTCGTGTTCAATAGTGCACCCGCGGCTCATCGAGAACTTCGCCGCATAATCAGGAGAGGCGGAGTTTCATTTCCTGGAAGAATGGAGAGCGAAGGGAAGAAGAGGGAAACAAGAAATCGGATAGCTTTGACCGGAGCAGCTGCCGTTGCGACCGTGGCAGTCACCTGCGCCATCGCCGCACTGAGCGCCCACATCAGGAATCGCAGGAGAAAAGGTGCGTAACTGCACGGCGGGCGCCCACCCCGTGCGCGTTAGTTTTTTGGTGTTGAAGTCGGGGATTTTATTTCATTCTCTCCTTTGTTCTCTTGTAGTGGTGGAGGCAAGTTTTTCCATTTATTAGATGCTGAGTTTTGTGTATTGTGAGCTTCTCGTGTCTTTAGAAATTTTGGGAAAAATCTTGGCTGTTGAGAGTGCTTGATTTATTTACTCTTGGAGGCAGTGTATGATGTTGTTGTCTTCTATTTTTCAGTTCGAGTGAACTTATATACTTTAGGATCTGATATGGATTTCCATTTTGGAAAATCGGGTCGTCATTTTGAGTTTCAGTGCCTTCGGGATCAAGTGTGCGGATAAATATGTCTTCATCTGAGATACTGAGGTTAGCAGATCACATTATTGCAAAATCTAAGGAGGTTCATGATAAAGTGGCTGCAGTTCCGCTTGACAAGGTAATGTAGTATTCTTGGGTTAACGTTGATAAGGATAAACGAATGTTAAGTCATGACAGCGCTGTCTTTTCTTTACTTCTATCTTTTCACTTTCTTTGGTGTAGTATTGACTTAATTTCCATTTTTGGTAACTAAGCTTTGCCTCATCGTTGTTGTTCGCATTATAATGTGAAATTTGACTCATCAGAGTAAAATTTATATGTGGGCTTTATGATGAGTTTCTGTTCCATATATCCCATCCTCAATTTTATGAAATGCTATACTTTTAGGTTGTTAATTGGTGTTTGCTCTTGGATCTAAAAGAAACTAAAATGTTGATGGGATCCTTACCGGAATGGAACTCTAACATAAATTTTGTATTTTATTGAATTATGCATTCTTCCCATCCTCTTGGAATTACAAGATAGTATACTGGATATTTCTTTAGTTATTAACTAGGAAAATTCTATGGGTTTGTACCCATGCAAAGTATAGGACTTTTCTTCTCTCAGATGTAGCATGTAGAGATTGATTGCTTTATTTTTAATATGACTGGTGAGTTCTCAAAGTAGGTTCTCTGTGGTTCAACATGCAGAGTATGGTTAAAGAATGTCTAATCTTTTTCAATATTTTCTAGTATCCAAAAAGTTTAAAATCTATGCTAGATGCTCTAATGTAGGTATATGTCTCAGGTATCGTATGCCAATACTATACTACCATTGGCTGAATTAGAAGCACATCAATTTCCACTGTTACAGTCTTGTGCATTCCCCAAACTGGTATCTGTTTCTGAAGATATTCGTAAAGCAAGCATGGAGGCAGAACGGAGAATTGATGCTCATTTCTCTGCATGCAGGTTCAGTTTTTATCCCCGTCCGTTTCATCTCTGATGAATATGTTATAGAACATTGATTGCCCAGTAATTCATATTAACAAGGAGGATATTCACAATATAATGTTTTTGTAAACCACATAACCTTAGAGAACTAAACACTCCTCAAACTAGTAAGTATGCCTGGAAGCTGAATTGAATCTGATAAAAGAATAAATTTTCAATATGGATTAGAAGTACCATTGGTTGCCACAATATGCACATGGTTGAATTACCAATGGGTTTCAAAAGGATTTTTGATGGTTATCTAGTCATTAATGGTGCTGTTGATATTGATTAATAATTCTGCAAGGGGAAGGCAATTTACATTGCCATCGTCTTCTAGTGAGAAATCTGTATGAGAGACAACCAACAGATAGAAGTGTAAAATGATTCCTGGACACAATTAAGTATATAAACTCTTCTAGGAGCATTGGAATTTGCTAGGTCTTTTATGATATACTTTATTGTAGCATAAGCAAGATGCAGTCTAAGATTGTTAAACAGACTAGCTTGTCTGACAAATTTGGAAAATTCCTGATTGTATGTTGCAAAAGTTTTGGTTGCTGTCTTATAGTACATATTATGATTTAGAGTACTAACCTTTTATTAGTGAATCTTTATATTACCTTTTTAATGAAAATCATGCAGTAAGAGAGAAGATGTTTACCGTGTTATTAAAGCTTTTGCTGCACGGGGGGATGGGTTGAGCTCGGAAGTCAAGCGATTTGCACAATATTTGGTATGAACCTGCATATAATAGTGCTATATAGATTGTTTTATGCTTTGTCTATTGGTTTCTTTACTGACAAAAACTTTTTTTTTTTTTTGGCTGTTTTTGATCCCCGGTATTATATATAGTTCTTCCCTTTAATATATATATATATATATTAATTAAATTTTTTTATTGCTAGATCAACAATATTTGAATTATTTTTCTTTCTAGATTTATGTCATATATATATGCATGCATTTATTTGTTGCATAAGTGAGTAATTAATCAGTAACATATTTTTCTAATTGCAATTATGTTTGAATCCTTTACTAGAATATATCCACATTTTTGGAAGATTGATTTGCATAGACTAAGATTAGTGCCTTGTTTAACTTCTAACTTAGCGGATTATGTAGCTCCTATTCAATAATCCTCGTGTATCTCGAGATTGAACGTCTATCAAATAAAGATCCTATCTAGTCCACATCGGAAGCCAATAATGTCCATATGACGATGATTCTTATATAGTAGATCTTGTCCAGGAGACCCTTTGATATGCCATAGAATGCGAACGGCAACTTCCTAGTGGGTGGTACGTGGTGATTGAAGAAATTGACTGACCACGCTGACTACATATGAAATATTGGGATGAGTAACGGTAAGATAGTTCAATATACCGACTAATCATCGATAACGACCAATATCTTTTAAAGGTTCCCCTTAATCCGGAAGAAGATTACAGTTAGCATCCATAGGAGAGTCGACAGACTTACATTATGTTATGCGTGCTTCTTCCAACATATTCTTAACATATTTCCTTTGTGAAAGAACAAAGCAATTAGTTGAGGAAACAATGTCAATGCCAATAAAATATCTAAGAGGTCCTATCAACATAGACAATGAGATATAAGAGGATGATCAAATTTAAATCCAGTCATTCCAAACTTTGTATAGTAGCACTAAACTGTCCAAATCAAACATGAGGTGATTGCTTTAAGCTATATAGAGAACGACGAAGCTTGTACACAAGCCTAGGCTCTCCTTGAGCAACAAAACTAGGTGGTTGTTTCATATAAATATCCTTTTGGAGATAGAGGACATATTGGCCACATGTGAAAAATTGTCAGTCTAGTCCTAACATAGACTTGTGTGAAGTCTTTGGCCCCCAAACAAGCCTTAAGGCGATCAAGGTTGCCATCCGTGCCAACTTTAATGGCATAAACCCGACGATACGCAATGGTAGGTTAATTGGGAGGTAATGAACAAGATTCCAAGTACGATTAGCATCTAAGGTAGCCATTTCGTCCACAATGGTCTATCTTCATCTGGGATGAAAGAGAGTTTCCTAGACAGACTTAGAAAATATATAGATCTCAAAGTAGTCATGAAACTATAAAAGAGAGAAGACAAACCATGATCGCTTAAAAAGTTATAAAGAAAATGAAGATTACGAGTAGTATGTGTACCACGACGTGGAGCCAAAGGAGAAGAGGCGACGGATGTTGAAGAGGGAGGGACCGGCGGTGAGTCAGAGACCACAGAGGGTATTGTAGGGTTAGAATGGAAAGAGGAAGGACATGGACAATGATGATAAACCTGAAGAATAGGGGAGGTAATAAGGGAATCGGAGGAAGGGAGATGGAGGACCATAGGAACATGAGAATTGGAAGAAGAAAGACAATAAAAAAAGGGAGATGACTCAAAGAATATGACATCAGCTTTTATCAAGCTCTATTACACCGTTGTATGATGATGTTTATGCTCGTCTACTTCGTTTTGCCTTTATATCTTCTTTAGACTCCACTTCCACGGTAGGAGACTTAGCCTTGTTGTCTACTCTTGCAAGTAAGGAGGTCACCAACAACTAACGTACTACTAGAGGTGGTGGCCCTTGTCCTCATTGTACTATTGCAACGGGTTAGGACATGCTAATGAAAGATGTTACAAATTGCGTTGGTGCCCAACTCAGTTAATATCACCTGTATTATTTTACCTCTTCTTTCCGTTGATTCCTCTCAGTCTATGGTGATCATTGGATAAGGTCGCCAACAATTGACGTACTACTAGAGGTGGTGGCCTTCGTCCTTGTTGTACTCGTTGCAACGGGTGGGTACTGTTAAGACGGGGATCCGGGGTTCCAACTTAAAACCAATTGGTTGTAAGTGGAATAGCCCTTCACCCCTTGTAAGGTCGGGGAATCCCAACATTACATCCAATGTGGTATATTTAACACTCTCCCCTCGAGATGATAATCTCGAAAATCTATACAGGATCAATACCCAATACGGGCATCATGGCTCTGATACCATGTTAAGACGGGGATCCGGGGCCGATCATCCTCTTCCTCATGTTTGTATTGATTCTTATTTACATCCTATTTTTACCAGCTTCATCAATTGTTACATGTTATGGAATCAAACCACTCTTTTATATAGGAACGGTATTCATTTTTGTATAAAGTGGTTTCTAATTTATTTTCTCTTTTGCAGGATTTCTCATCATTGTTTGATTTTATAGGCCATATGTCATCAATCAAGGCCATAAATATATCCCCTTGCATGTGAGGAAGTGTGTTGGTTGACTCCCGTAAAAATATAAATAAATAAATAATGTATATCCCTGTTAGATGGTTATTTACATCATCTAATGGTTCAAATGCATTGCTTTAGGACCTTTCTTCTTGAACTCAAATTCGAAACCTTTCAAACTATACAAAATTTCCATGCCTATGTTGATACACATTTTCAATCCTCAATCTCTTTTATACATTGTGATAAGGGTAGGGAATTTAATAAATCTTTTGCTTGCAATTTCTTCTTTGCACACGCACCCACTTTAGTTTCTTCTGCCTTCACATCTTGTAAAAATTGGCAAAGTCGAGTGCATCATCCTCACCACCAACATCATGTGTTTCCTACTCTTTCAAGCTGCCCTCACTCTTTTAAGACATAGGCATTACACAACCACATACATTTTGAATTGAATACTAAGCACAGTCCTTAGCAAGACTTTATGAGTCCTTGTTTGGCTCTCGGCCAAACTATTCACACGCGGGTAGGGATGGTTTGGTAAACTATAACAAAAGTTTCATGTTGTATGGTATATTGTACCTTAATTTTTGACATGCTAAATGGTATACCGACAGTGTACCGGAAAGTTTGGTATATGGCAAAGTTTTATATCAATACCATACATATAATTTTAGTATACCATAAAATTTTATGTATACTTGAAAGGTATATTGAAAAAATCATGTATATATACATATCGGAATGATATGGTAAACCATACATTAGAAAATTGTATGCTAATACCATACTTAAAGTCTTGCTAATTTTCGCTATAATAAGCTCGGTATACTGAATTTTTTTTTATTTATCATTCCCTCGTATGCATGTCTTTGGGCTTTTGTTGTTTACCAAACCTCTCATCCACAACCAACCACAAAGTAGCAGTAAGTTCCATCGAGTGCATTTTTCTTGGTTCTCCAACCAATCAAAAAGGTTACTATTGCCTTGACTTGTCCTCAAACTGTATCATCATCTTCAGGCATGTAATTATTTACGAAAATAAAGTTCCAAACACGTTTCACTTGTTTCTATATGTTCCTTGATGAATTGGATGATGATGCACAAGCCATACCACCTCTGCAGCTTCTTGTTGTCCTGGTGCCTCCCATTGTCACATCAGCGCCACTGGAAGGCCCTCCCATCCACGACTCCACCTATAGGCTGTATGGCCACTGGTTACCCATTACCTCTCTTGTGGGCACACCGAGCCCCCTTGCCCTGAAGACAAATCTGGAGGTCTGCAGGTGTATGGCTGCCTACGCATTCATATCTCACAAGAGCCAAGCATCATAAAATGAGTACACCTAGTTCTTCACTAATTCTGTGCATGCCTCGCCTTGCGCTCTGCCTGCCACCTTAGCTCTACCATAGCATCCATCTGTCATGTAGGTGTATTCCTGCCAGCAATGTGCATGACCTTTTGCTGTAGCCACCATGGGCCTGGGCTTTACATAAATGACTTGGTTTCTGCGCCTAGTGATGGTGCATTCGATGGCTCATTCCACTATCCGATGGAACACATCACTCTAGTGGTGAGCCATCACTCGATGCAAACTTGAGGCAAGGATGGCATTCGGTTTCTCTGGCTTCCTTGCCTACATGACCTTGATAGTGAACATATCTCTTTGAAATAGACATACCATTGTGCCCTCGCTGATCTGATGAGTTCAACGTTCTTATGATCAAATAGATTTGGGATCTTGTCAAGAGAATTTTGAGGTACATGAAAAGCATGTTGGGGCATGTCCTTCAATTGTACTGTGCTCTAAAATTGACTCCATTGTCTACTCAACGCTGATTGGGCTGTGACTGTCGTGATACATGCTGCTCCATTTCTGGTCTCAGCAGCACACAATATCTCCCTCTAGTGCTGAAACCAAGCACTGTGGAGTGGCCAATACTGTTGCAAAAGCTGGTTGGCTCTGTCAGTTTCTTGCTGAACTTCACCAACCTCTCAAGAAAGGCTACAGTTGTCTACTGTGACAACATCAGTGTTGTCTACCTCTCCACTAATCTGGTGCAACATCAATGCACCAAACATGTGGAGATCAATCCACACTTTATTTGCAAGTGCTTAGCACTTTGAGCTATCGACGTGCTTCACGTTCCAACCTCCCTTTAGTATTCGGATGTCTTCAGCAAGCGGATGCTGACTACCATCTTCACTGTTTTATGGTCTAGTCTAAATGCCCACTCTTCTCCTGACTGACACTATGGCGGGCTGTTGACATGCATTACCTTTATGGAAAATCAATTTTGCATTGTCTAACCTTTAGTATTAATTTGCTCCTAGATTAGTGCCTCAGTTAACTCATCAATTAGTGTTTTATTTAGCTCCTATTCAATTTTGTAATTAAATAGCTGCCTAACCTGTACACCATGTACTCCATATATGCCTAGACATCAATAAGAATCATCAAATCGGAATATTCTCAATCATTTCCCCCTTTATTCCTCATTTCACAACTTATATTAATTTCTGCTTATAAAATACTCAATTATATTTATATGGAAGTACAATAGATGTGATTATTATTCACCAGGTAGAAGTTGACTCAAATTGGTTTTTGAAAGTAGCAACTAGCAAGCACACTTTTAGGGTGTGATTTGTGGTTGTCTATATGAATTTGAGTTTCTAGATGCATTGATAATTTCCTGAAGTGCATTAAAGGAGTTGCAGGTTAGGACTGCTGTTTGAAGGCAAAGGAAACTCTTTAGATATTTTACTACAGCGATGTAGGTTGGAGTGAATGTGTACTATATCTGTCAGCTGGTAACTTAATCTCCTAATAGAACGAGAAAGAAAGAGTGTTTGCAAGGTCTAGTATTGATACAGAATATTGTGCCACCACTTTAGCAACTTATGAGCTTTTATGGTTTGGGCATATTAGTAGTCATCATCTCAGGGCAGATCATCTAATTGGTTTTTTACTCACTCCAATCTTTACAATGACGTTACTTTGTTACATTATTTGATGGACTATGCCTTATGATCTGTGTCAAAGAATGTACTTAAAACCAAATGACAACTGAATACATGCCTGGTGACTGGTCCAGGAAAGGGCTTTTGGTTTTTCTTTTTAACCTTGTTTCTTGTCATAGTAAATTGTTATTAGCCAAGTGCATATTTGTAAAAAGTAGTTACAGGTTCAAGACTTTGCTGTTTCTTCTTGTCATAGAAAAGTGTTATTAGCCAAGTGTATATTTGTAACAAGTAGTGACAGGTTCAAGACTTTGAACGGAATGGAATGAGTCTGACTTCAAGCAAGAGGGAGGAATTAGAGAGGCTGAGGGCACAAATAGATGAGCTGAGTATGCGATACATCCGAAATTTGAATGATGATAGCAAATTTCTTCTCTTGCGTGATGAAGAGCTACTTGGTTTACCCACAGAGTTCCTCAAGGTTAGGAATTGTCGTCTATTTTTTCAACCCATAACAACCTACTGTGTTTCAGTTGATGCCCTTATTCTTTTACTTGATATTTGGATTCATCTCTTGGCAAGAGACTGCTGCTTTATCAGAAACTTTAGTCTTAGAAAATATTATCCACTAAGCCATTTCTACTTTCTCCACTCTAAATCTGGTTTTCTGCAACACTCTTGTTGCTAGATAACTACATGGACTGCATGTTACTGCTTCTTGGTGTAGCTAACGACATTTTTATGTTTGTTTCAGAGTTTGGAGAAGGCTGACAATGCTAAATTCAAGATATTGTTGAGGAGCCATCAGATTTCACCTATCCTGGAGCTATGTAAGGTATAATTCTTATGAATATTGCATTTTCACTATTTGTTTTAAGCAGCAAAATTTTATCAATCACTTTACATAGTTGTATGATGTCATATAATTATTCAGGAGAAATTCATGCAGTAGCAGTGATTTTAAGTGTTAACTGTCTTTTTAAGGTCTTTGAATCGACTGGGAACTTCAACAGTCAACCTTAGAAGTTGGTATTTTATAATTTTCAAATCAGAACTAAATATAAGTTGTGATTGATTTGTTGGGAATAATATATACATACACACATACATGCATTATGTGCTCCCTGGTCTGTGTATTCTCTTAAATATAAAGTTGTGCCAAATTTTTGTGCTTCACTTATTGTTTGTTTTTATGAAGGTTGGATCGACCAGGAAGTCTGTAGCCATGGCTTACGGAAAGAGATGCGAAGTGAATCTTTCTGTATTAGAAAAGCTAGTGAGCTTCAATCCCATCTATATAATGTTACTTATAACATTACATATAATGATTATTACATTTGCAGTTTCATTGACTCTCTGTTGCCATCTTCTGTCAAAAAAATTTAATCTTCTGTTTATAAATTTTTTTTATGGGAGATGTTTTGTAGTTAGACACATTGCAATTTTCATTATTTTTCTTTTGTTCATTTGTGTGTGCATATAGATATATATAGCCTCATACTCATATTCAGTTATCTGTGTGCATGTAATCATTAATCTTTAAGTAGTATGACTTTGTGCAAGTTACAACTTACAAGTCCCATTGCTCACATTTCTGGGTGAATGTATGATTACAAATTTAACTTCATTGTTGTTTGATAATATCTTGCCCTTCGGTTCAGGTTCAGCTGCGTCATAAACTTGCCAGATTGCTTGGCTACATGAATTATGCAGACTATGCCATTGATCATAGAATGGCAAACTCATCTGCAAAGGTTTGTCCTGATTTGTATCTGTAATTTACCAGTAGATATCTTCATATTGTGGGATATTGACTCAACTATGCCTCTAAATACCTTTTTTAAATAAATATGTTTAGAAAGTATTCATAATCTAATTTAAAAAACCACAATTGCAACCCTGTTTAACCATATGTTTGTGCTTAATGTCAGTCAGTAATGGTTGATTAGAGTTAATAAATGTTTATATTTTCTCAGGTTTTTGAGTTCTTAGAGAAGATATCTGGAAGTTTGACTGACCTTGCATCCAAGGAACTTTCTCTGTTAATGGAAATGAAGGTTGGCATGGTTATTTCCTATTTTCAAGTGCTATTAGAAAGCCTTCTTTATGTGTAGTCCTCATTTTACTTTCCTTAATAATTAATTGTATTGTTGGTGGTTAAGAGGAAAGAAGGGGGAGAAATTCAATTTGGAAGTGAAGATATGCCATACTATGTCAAGAGGATCAAGGAACAGCAGCTTGATTTGGATTTTGGACTTTTGAAACATTACTTTCCAATCAATTTAGTTTTATCTGGAATCTTTAAAATATGTCAAGATCTATTTGGTAAGTTTGTGCTAATTTTCAGAATTGCGTGCCTCTGTTGACTGTGTTCCTATGGTGTCTTATACTCATAAATCTTAAAATTTTCTTAATGCAGGCCTGAGATTTGATGAAATATTAGATGCAGAGGTTTGGCATCAAGATGTGAAACTTTTTTCGGTTTTTGACTTGGGAACTTGTGAACTCATGGGTCATTTTTATCTCGATTTATACACCAGGTTTTTTTCAATTCCCGCAACCCACCCCCGCAATAAGTTTACCTGGATGAGTGTGAATACTGAATAAATATCACTATATCCTGCCATTAGCTAAATTGCACTGATGTTTCAAAAACAGGGAAGGAAAATATGGCCACACCTGTGTTGTTGCTCTTCAAAATGGTTCATGGATTAACAACATCAGACAGGTGATTTTATCATATTACTTTCATCATCTCTAGATTTCTTACATTTCTTTTCTATCTTTTCTTTTAGATAGAGAAGTAAATACATCAAAATCAAATTATTTAATGAACGGATTTTCTCATTAGGATTCATTTTATATCATAATTAATTTCTCCTGCTCAATTATAACAGATATCAAAATGGCTCATTTGATATTTGACAATGCTGTCCATTTACGGTGCATAATGATACTTTAAATTTAAAGGATAGGATTGGTTAACATGTGCTCAACTCTATTTTTTGTAAGAGATAATTTTATTTAGAAAAGAGAGATACTGCAAAGCCTTAGGGCTGTTAGGAAAGGAAGAAACTAATTACATGGAGGTGAGAAAAGTCTCATTCAACCATTATTCTAGGAAGAGGGTTGAGATGGCTTAGTAGAACTGCTTTAAGAATGTGCATGATAGCTAGACTTTTTTGTTACATTTGTGTACTCGATGCCAATATATTTGGAGAAAATGAATAGAAAATTGCCGTGGTGTGATAACTAATGTAATACCAACAAGACCTGGTTTTCCAATTTAATCATTTGTTATATATATATGATATAGAAATATAATTTGGTACAAATAAATTTATGTATGATGTATAAACAGAATTCATACAAAATGGCCAAAATTTGGAATAGTGATCCCATCTCATCTTCTAAATAAACCTGCCTAATTTGTATTTCCAAGTATAATCCTATCTGGTTATGCTTGTAAATAATATGTTTAACGTTAATAATGCAACACTCCTTTGCCTGTGGCTGTAAATTATTTGTTAAAAATGGTTCTTATGTGGCTGGAATGTGTCCCACACTATGTCCTTTTGCTTGCCTGTGGTTCTACACCAACGTGCTAGATCTGCAACTCTGTATATTTATTGTGTTCCTTGTCGACTTTCAGTTTTTTGGTTAATAACAAGAAGTTGAATTTTCAGATTCCAGTTGCTTTACTTATTTCCCAATTGCAAAAGGAAGTTGATGGGAGTCCTGGGTTGCTAAGATTCTCTGAAGTAGTGAATTTATTCCACGAGTTTGGTCATGTGGTATGTTTAACTCTTACTAAATCCATATTCAGCAAATTACAAAAAGTTTTATAGTTTGTTCTTTTCGGAAGTGATTGCTTTATTGTGGCATTCAGTAACTCATGGACTTTTGGGTAATCTGGTCACTTTACTACTTTGCAAGTTCTTTCCTAGTTCTTCATGTGTTTTAGTCAATGTGGTTAGAAATATCAAGAGATAGCATGTGACATGAGAAAGCTTTTTACTAACAAATCAGTCCTTGAATTCAGGTCCAGCATATTTGCAATCGTGCACGGTTTGCTAGATTTTCTGGCTTACGCTTGGATTCTGATTTTGTTGAAATCCCGTCCTTGTTATTAGAAAATTGGTACTTCCAATGCTTTCTCTTGTAATTGCAGTGTAAACTTCTATAAGACTTATTATAATGCAATTCTGTTCTTAGGTGTTATGAAAGCGACTCTCTTAAACTGATCTCTGGTTTTTATCAGGTATTCATGTTTGCTGAGCTTTCTTTTTCTACACCTAGCACAAGTCATGTTCTATTTGGCCCAGATGGACAGATACAATGTGGCTTTAACTCTCCTCGAACACCTTTTGATTTCAGGATATCACTAAGCCGATTGATGATGAGATGTGTAGATCGCTTAAGAGATGGCGGTTTTCATTCTCTGCACTGAAACTGAAACAAGAAATTCTTTATTGTAAGCATTTCTTGGGAACTGAAACTGTCATTTTCTTTTTCTTCTATTGTGACTGTAGTTGTCTGTGCCCAAAAAGAACTTCTGGATATTTCAAATTTCACGTTATGGCCCTTTCTCATTTTTTTCAGCAATGAAAGGCGTTGGCTGTCCTGACATGCTTACTACTCATGTTTTTAGGTCTTTTTGATCAGATCATACATTCCACAGAAAATGTTGACATGGTCGGATTGTTTAAGCATCTCCATTCCAAGGTATTCTTTGCTTTTGATTTTTTCCACATTTGTCAATGGATGCTTATGTTAAGCTCTTTAATGGCAGGTTATGCTGGGATTACCGATGCTTGACGGACTAAATCCGGCTTCATGTTTTCCTAATGCTGCCATTGGCTTTGAGGCCACTTGCTACAGTCGGTTATGGAGTGAGGTCTAGTTACTGTTCTGATATGTATTTTATTTTACAGTAACAAAATCTTACTGCAAAATGGGAATAACTAAAACTATATCTGACATTCTTGACTAGAATACACTAATTTCTACTATAGGTTTTTGCTGTTGATCTATTTGCCACAAAGTTCCGTGACGACATATTCAACCAGAATACTGGCATGCATTTCAGGAACAAGGTATACTATTGGAGAGACATATCTACATATTGAGTTGAACACATGCTCTTCATCAATTATTGTCGTCAAATGAACTGTTTGTGCAAAATATCAAAAATCCATGTAAAAATGAAAATTTTACAAGCTTGCTCGAACATGTTATTTGGGGATGACAGGTATTGGCTGCCGGAGCTGCAAAGGATCCTTTGGAGATACTTTCTGATTTCCTCGGAAGGGAACCATCGATTCAAGCCTTTCTAGAAAGCCGAGCTCATTCCATCTAGAATGAAAACAGCACGGTATTCTCTAACCGCTTGATTCTTGCAGAATTTCCAGTCACATGCTACATGTGACCTTGGGGAACACTACCACCGCCTGTGATGGAACTGTATAACAGCTGCAGTAAAGTGTAACGAGGTAATGTATACATTTACTTGCCTTGTGTATAATCATTGTTAATAAGAGTAGTTTTGGACAAGGCTTTGTTCATGCGTCATTGATATTGGTTTGCATTGGAGAGAACAATGATGTTGGCTTTTAGGTATCTCTGTGGAACCTTAGGACCTAAGTTACCCCTTGTTTGTGTTAGACATTGTCCAAGCCTTTCCTCGACTGAGCTTACAAGTTGGTCCAGTCACTTGGGTTGTTCACAAATTGTCCCTTGATTATGTTTTGAGAACCAATCCTTGAGCTTAGGTGTGGGTATGTATGATTTACCCAACTTCGTAACGCATCAAAATTTTTAGTATGATAATTTTTTTATATCAATATTATACCGAAAATTCGATAAACTAAAAAAATTAATATACCAAAATTCGGTAAGATAAATATATATATATATACCGTACTGTATCAATAATCGGATTTTTGGTATATACTGATATATTGAATATCAAAATGATATACTACTTTCGTCTACCGCCAATCTATTCATTTGCATTTGACGTCATTGTTTTTAACATTAAAAATATTTTGTTATTTGTATAATTTTTTATACAAAAATCATTACATTAGTATTATAAGACATTAATAAAATTATGTCATTTTTTCTTGATTTGTACTATGTTTTTTTATATAATAATTAATATTTAAATATTAATATGAAAAAAATAAATGGATAAATTGGCGGTGGACGGATGTACTACAATATTTTTGGTATATACTTAAATACGGGTTTTTCATTATATATTAAAAATATCAATTTATATATTATGATATCGTATTGTACCGAAATTTTTGATATATATAGAATTTTTTATAGGTTATTTTGGTGTTTAAGTATTTTTTTCCCACCCCTACTTGAGCAGAACCTGTGTATCACTCATTTTTCTTGCTGTCTTACTACGACATTTCGGGTGTGTTTGTTTGGGGGATTGGATTTTAAATTCACTATTCATCCTATTTTTTCCCCTTAAAAATATCAAATCAAACATCTATTTTTCATTTTTTATATTATACTAAAAATTAATTTTACATTAAAAACATTACATCAACACCTATTTATATTACATCATACAATTATTCAAATTCAAAATTTTTACTATTCAAATTTCAACTCAAAATCCAAACCCCGAACAAAAACATGTCTCCTTCGTTTTCTAATAATCCCCTCAATTATTTGCCCATTTACCATTTTGTTTTACATGCTATACTATTCACTCAATCAATGGCTATTTTTTACCTGTTCCACATTTTCTTGACAGATTTACTGTTTTTTGTGCAAAACTTGCACACTTTTGGGACACCAGGGGTGTGTTTGGTTGTGGGTTTTAGTTTTTGGGTTTGAATTTTTGAATAGTAAAATGTTGAATTTCAATAGTTGTTTGATGTAATATAAATAGAGGTTGATGTGATATTTTAAATGCAAAATAAATTTGTAGTATAATATAAAAAAAAAAAGTAATTGTTTGATGTGATATTTTGAAGGTAAAAAAAAATCTGACAGTAAAAACCTATGGTAAAACCTATGAAAGAATACAACCTAATATATTTCTAGCATTCTCATTCTAAGTCATGGAGATGCATAGATACAGGTTCATCCTCCCTTTGCTCATCTTATCCTCATCCTTAAATTGCTTGTTTGATACACCCAAAAACAAGCCAGCTCGACCATTCAGAAAAGTGCTTTGTGGATTGAAAATGGCTCAAGAAAACTATGGAGATTCTTGATTAATGGCTTCTCCTTGGACAACTTCCCCTGTCTGAGTTGCAAATAGTTTGCAAAATCATTGAGAAAAATAACAGGATTACAAGAGAATAACACCTGTGGAATGTCTAGCCAAATGGGCTTATGATTCAATACTCAGTTTTTGACATTCTTTACCCTTGGGACCAAGGTTGTCATGGCGCCCTTTTGCGGCGCGGCGCCTGTGAACCGCCATGGCGACAAAATGGCGAACACGGCGCACATGTATAAAAACTTATATATATTATATGTTATAAGAAACTAATGCCTATAATTATTAATTTTATAGTAACATATCAAGAAAATACAAAATAACTAACAAATAAAAATAAATAATTAGTTTGAAATTTTAAAATAAATAATAGTGTAATAACACTTTCCAAAATAATAAAGTAGATAACAAATTTACAAATATAAGAAATAGTGAAAAAAGAACTCTACGATAGAATGATGCGGTTATTAGCGACTAGACCAGAGGAGAGAGGAGAGATATATGAAAGGGAGGAGCTGCACAAAGCAGCGGACATTAGCGATTAGATCAGAGAGCAGTGGAGAGAGATGACAAGGGGAGAGAAAGGATAAGAAGTTAAGGGTTCAATTTCAAAGTTGATGTCGATGCGATTTTGGAGTTTGGGTTGGGCTTCGAAGGCTCTCGGCTAGCCTTCCCAATGCCATGGCATCGGCGTTGAGGCGTTGCCACGGCGTTGCTAAAGCATCTCCAAACAACATTCTTTAATAAGGCGAGGCGAAGAGTTGTGGCGCCCCTAAAAAGCCGCCATGGCGACTCCATGACAACAATGCTTGGGACTGTTGGATTTCTTCTTTTGGTGGGAAGATAAGTAGGGAGGCATCCTCATTTGGGGGTCACAACCTGACTTGTCCACATGTCATTCACATATTTTTCTACGTGTTATAAATTTATGGTGTCAGCAATTCCATCTTTGAGGACTATTTCTATTATAGTTATGTGACTAATTCGACATAGAGTTAAGATATGATCCTAAAATAATAAAGATGGCCATAACTAAAAAAAATATTTTCTCCTAGCACGGTGTTTAAGAAATAATAGTATTTTAATTATAGTGGGTAATTAAAAGTAGTGTAATGATATTTTTGTCCTTGCTTTTTTGTATAAAAATAATGATGCGATGTAAAATGAGAATATTTGTGAAAAAAAATAAGATATTTAATAAAATATTTACTGTCCCAAAATAGAAATATATATATACCTAGTATTTTTCTTTTTATTAATTTGTTATTGATAGCAAGTTCATAAACTCACATATTTAATAAATTAATTTATATTTAAAGTAAAATATTGTTTCATATATTAATTGTAAATACTAAATAGTATGGTACTTTTAATAAAAAAAATCTTATTACATAATGATGATTAGGATGCTGGTTAGGACTAATAAGAATAACTATTGGACAAATCTTTAACTTAAAGCCTTCTGTTTAATCGAGTCTATAAATGCGATTGTACTAACAAAATTTATAGCAAATAATATAATATAGACACATAACACATAATTAATACTAATTAAATAATACTTGAGGACAACACATAGATAATACTCCCTCCGTCTCACATACCATGTTCACGTTGCTGTTTCTGTTCGTCCCACGTATTATGTCACTTTCCTTTTTTGGAAAATGATTACACTTTATTTTAAACTTTTTAATTTTATTTTTTTTTTAAATTTTAATTAAACTAATTAGTTATCTTAATATTAATTTATAATTATTTATATAATCGGATAATTATTTTCACTAATACATTCTTAATTATCTACTAATTACACCCCTCCTAAAATACCGTGTCTATAGTGTAGCAGATACTATACGCAAAAGTCAAAATGTACCATTAAACTACTCCTTCCGTCCCATATAATTTGTCCATATTTTCTATTTTCGTCCGTCCCACGTAACTTGTCATTTCCTTTTTCAGAAATATGATTATCCACTTTAATCACATTTTAAGTTTTAAATTTTAGAATTTTTTTAATCTTAATTAAATTATTTATTTATTTTAATCTTAATCTATAATTATTTTTACTAAATAATAATTATTTCTACTAACTTCTTAATTATCTACTAATTATACTTTACGTAAATTCCCGTATCTACAGTAACACATCCAAAATATATGGGACGGCGGGAGTAATAATTTGCATCATCTATTAATGTATCCATTTTATTACTTCAAATCGCCTATAGTCAATACATTGCAAACTAGGCCCGACATATAAATCACACTAGGAACTATATGTCCCAGGTGACCTGAGGCTTCAATTTTATTAAACATGGATTCAAGACACTAATAAACTCGTACATTTCATCGAAATTTACAATTATATCGATTTTTTTATCAATTGTACTTTCGAAGGCATTTTAGTTAATATATTGATACATACTACTAACGCACGTAACATACTAATCTTTTCTGATCTACGTACATCAACAAAATCAATGCATACATTTTGGATGGAGTATATTTTACTACTAATGCGTTTATAACTTATTATAATATATAAATTACATTTAAAAATATAAAATATCTAGTAAGATAAAAATGTATATCTTTTTTAATTTGGTGTTTTAGTTATATTTTTAAATTTTATTTTTTAGTATAATGTATAAATAAAAATTTTAAATACCATTTTACTTCAAATTAATGGAACATACTCTAAATACATTTTACAATACCAAAATAAATAGCCTCTTAAGTTTTTGGTAATAGAAAAGAAAATATTAATATTTTATTGTTTAATAAAAGTGTGTGAAATATTTAGCAGTTATGTTCTTTATACTTTATATATAAAATTGATTGTATAATACATTTTAATATTATCATGTGTTATTATTTTTTCTTAAATACGAACGAACATACTTTTGAATAGAACAAATAAAAATTGTTGATAGCTATGCGAGGCCTAATCCAACAAAGTTTATGATAATATTGAAAGTTGGTTCACTTTTCAGTCTGGTCTATCGGACTCGGTCCAAAATTTATAACCCAAACTCAAACCCTTAATGTTAAGCCCAATCTATTTTGTTAGTTATAAAATTAATTTAGGAGGAATTAGAACTGGTGTGAGAGCTTGGGGATATTTTAGAAAAGACAAAATTGCCCATAACTCCCTTAAAGTTTCGAAATTCAGCGTAAATCCCTTATTTACTTTACAAATTGCATGGAGCTCCTTTATACTTTAAAAAACATTGCATGAAACCACTTTGTAGTTTCAAAACTCAGTGTAAATCTCTACTTTACTTAAAAAAAAAATTGCATGACGCCCATTTATACTTTAAAAATTATTACATGAAACCCCTCACCATGCAAAAAATATGGATAGGAAATTATCATCCAATCACACAACAGAGGTTTCATGGGGGTGGGGTTTCATGCAATATTTTTGAAAATATAGGGGAGTGCCATGCAATTTTTAAAGTATAGGGTATAGAGAAATTTTACGCAAAATTTCGAAATCACAGGAGAATTGTGAGCAATTTTACCTTTAGAAAATGTGTTAGTTTAGGTGAGAGACATATATCCTTAGTCTAAGAGCACCCGCTACGAGCATCATCAAGTTGGATTGTTCATTTCAGAGATATTCCACTTCATCATTAAAATAATGAAAAATTGAAGAACTCCTCCTCAAAACATCTTGTTGTCGTAAAAGATCTCCTCCGGCGGCCTAATTGGAAAAGTCTTCCGGAATCGATTTAATCGAAAGGTTCCCTGGCCTCCTTAAGAAAGTATCCGGGTTGTCTCCCGATGATAAAGAAAATTAATGTAACAAGAAGGTAAAAAGGAAGCTAATAATGCGAAGATAAAAGCTTAAAAGAAAGTTGGAAATTAATTAAAGAAAATTGTAAAAAAAAAAAGTACTGTTTTGGAAAGAAAAAAATACATAAAAAATTAGGAAGAAGAAGAACGATGAATATGGCGTAGAATTGGTTCCCTTTTTGTTTTTGATTTTGTTAATATTTTTTGTTTGGATAAAATATTATCCAATTTTTTTCCTCCGAAATTCTAACTTCCTCCAAAATCCTCCTCGTTTGACTACTTCAAGTTGTGCCAGATTTATGTGAGTCCGCTGGGCTAGTCAAATCCGTCGGGCCTATGTGCTATGATCATTCGGGCCAATGAGAATATTGAGCCATATATCTGATTGGGGCCGCCTTCCACTTGCACTGGGTCGTCCCAGCGTTAGGCCTTGACTAGTTAATATTTTAGGTGAACACAAATGCCCCCCACAAAATTATTCGGGACAAAAATCTTCACTTTTAGTCCAAATAATTTTGTTTGGATTGAATATTTTTAAATCAACTGCTTCGCGCGAGTGTAATATCACGTCACTTTAATTACTCGTCGATCAATTCTCTCGGGTCCTTTTGCCGCCGTTTCAGAATCCTTTTCGTGGAAACTTCCTCTTTTCTCAAACCAAGAAAACCCACATTCCACTTTCTTTGTTTTGATTTTCCAACCAAGCCTCCATTGGTACTCTCCCTCTCTTCTCCCCGTTGGCAAGAAAAGGTCATTCCATCTCTAGATCGACCAACGGCAGCCCCGACATCCATCATCCGGTAACAATTTGGCGGTCCTTCGTGCAGTCCAGAAGTTTTTGGGGGCGATTTGGCGGGTCTTGGCAGGTCGTGGTGCGGTTCGGCGGTTCTTGGCGATTCTTGGTGGCAACTCAATGATCGAGTGACTTTTCCGGCCCGCGCACCTCGGGAGGGGTTCCGATGTCGAGGGCTAAACCGGGAGTCTAAATCGGCCATACCCATATGACACTTTCGGGGGAGGTGACTTCGGCATCCGATGGCGGTTGGCGAGTGCTCGCGCCATTCTTGAGAGACAATGAAGACTCATCCGAGGGTTTTCGTGACATTTTCGGAGGGGGTAAAATCTTATTGGCTCAACCTTGGTTTACTCTTATAGTTTTCCTTCCCGTGTATTTCGTTTACCTAGCGATGCTTTAGAGTTCAAATTTTGAATGGATATGCTAGGTCCTACCTTTGATGCGTGGTGGCATAGTTGGGGCATCCAGGACATGTTGTCGTTATGTGCTGATTTCCTCCCTAGTGATATTTTCATGGCTAAGGCTCTATTGTGCTTTTGGAGTCCTAACATTAATTCTTTTGTGTTTTCTTTTGGGGTTTTAACCCCGACGGTATTGGATGTAGTGGCAATCCTAGTATTACCTTCGAAGAGAATAAAGCCTCCTTTGTTTCCGTCTTGCAAACCAGATCGTTTGCCCATTTCTGTGACTTATGATAGTAACACTACTGTGGGTCAGGTTTTTGCCTCAAATAAGCTTGTTGGTGCTGTTGAGCCCTCCGAGAACAATGTGTTCCTCATGTATTGGTTTAGCAAGTACTTCACATGTTGTGTGTTGAAGGGGTTAATTTGGGAGGCCGAACCAATATTGAATGCCATTATTTACGGTGCCGAAAGCTTCATACTTTTTGGGTCTATTATACCGTGGTATAAATGATTTTCTAAGGAAGCTTTTTGTTTCGACCTCCCGTGAGCCGGTAGGATCTGGTCCCTTATGGTCCCTTGAGCTGTGGGCGCGGCTATACTTCCTAGTCTAATCAACCCGCATCCTGACCTCTCGCTTAGTCAGTTTACTGTTTTGGGTCCATATCTAGCATCGTGCCCTTCTTTTAAGGGTAACCTTCATTATGTGGCATACTTCATCCTACATGAGATTGATCGATCCCCATGTGACTTTTCTCTTTTAGTCGGCCACTCTACCGGCCCTATTTGGCTTGCTGCTCCCGGAAATGATAATCAAATTGTCGAGAGCGCCCTCCGTACGATCTGCTAGAATAAATGCTTGACCGCCCGGGTCTTGGTCGAAAGCTTAGCTTTAGGCTCTCGATATAATCCGTTGCTTGAAGAAATCTACCAGCCTCAGTACTGTACCCAAAAATTCGGATTGACTCAGGGGGTCCCTTTTTTCAGCTTTCTTTTACCGCTCCCACTCGAACCGGGTCAGAGCCTAGGATTGGTAGTTGTCGATGCCTGACGAACTTACATCCGTGAGCCAGAGGACCTTCCACATTTGTCCTATCCCCTTGATTCAAGCACCTTGCCCTTATTTGACCGATGGTGGGTTGATTTTCTTACCCACACAGACTTGGCCTCTTTGCAACTCTCCCTAGTTAAATTGGTGGATGAATGTTCGAGTGACGAGGAGTCGCCTGATGTTGTCTCCGAGGGGGTAGAGGAAATGCCCGCGCCTCTAGCTACGGGTAATCTTTGTCATTTACCGTGTGGTTTGGTGGTGCATATTTACACGATCGCTCTTCTTTGTATTGCAGACATGCCTTTTGTGTTGAGTGTCCGACCTATATCCGCTTCCGTAGTTTGGCGGTCCCGAAGGTTGATTTCGAGGCCTACCGTGCCCAAGTCGCAACCCAAACTGCCTGTTAAAGAACTAGTTTTGTACCACCCTCAACTCAGTTAACTCTTGGACGAATTCTCATTCGTGAGACAAGATCTTATTTCCTCTATGATTGCGTAGGTCCATCCGAAAAGGCTACTCCTTATCTACTGTTGCCCCGGTAGCAGAATCAACTTTGTCACCGCCTCATTTTCAGGTATGCTTTCTTCCTCATTCGAACCCCTGATCATGTGATGTATTATGATATTTGCTGTCATGTAGACCCTCCAGACGGAGGTTATCCCTGAGCCTACTTGCAGGTCAGCGGAGCGATCCGTTTCTTCTCCGTCCTCTTTCCAAGTACTAGCTGGTGTGCATTACGGGTTTTACTTTTGTGATCCACTTTGATTGGTGTAACCATGCAGGTTTCTTACGAAGAACTTACCCTGAAAGAGGGGATCAAATCGGCCTAGACTCATTCCCCTGCTCCTACCGGACCTGACAATATGAGGATGTTTGCATCTTGGGCTATCCCTCCAGTTCTAGTGGTGATCCTTGCCGACGTGGAGGCGTATTTCGCTCAGGATCTCACCGGGGACATCATTCCTCCTCCGGTTTTCGTCGGGCAGGATCAGGATCCCTTTGCCGCTTATCAATTCTTTCTACCAGGTATCTTTTTTGGCTACAACTGCGTCTACACCTCTGCATTCGGACTGTAGAAGGCAACTGAAGGATCTTGCTGATCACTTGGGTGAAGCTTCTGGGCGACGGAAGATGTTACAGGGCCTTCGCAGTTGATAACTCCAAATAGAAGCATATTCTTAGCTTGAAAAAACTGTGTATTACTCGAATTTCTGTATAAAAACCATCACAATGAATCATCAATGGCATACATTATTGATATATATCGCTTGGCATGATCCAGAATTCGATGTTGAGATTATTAACGATTTTTGCCTTTTTGAGCGATAGTCTGGTGCCAGAAAATTTAAGGCAAACGCCACAAGCGACAGCCACCTCCGCTCGCAAGCGCCCAAAATACATCCTGAAAATACTAAGGCATGAGAGGCAAGCGGCAGCCTTCACCGCCCGCAAGCGACAGCCTCTCCCGCTTGCAAGCGACAGCCCAGACACCCACCGCTGCAGATTATCACCAGATTCCAACTAAGTGTTCCAACTGCAGCGGTACAACTATTCCATATCCAGCCAGCACAAGCGAGCCTAACTGCGCTGATGCCCTCCAGCCCTTCGGCAAACGAGGAAGATTTGCGCCCTTACAGTTCAGTGCAATCAAAGCAAGTGCCCTGGGAGTTATGGCCAGCAACTGCCTCAACAGAATAACTACCAGCAACCGCCTAACTGCCCAGCGGTTGGAACTGCCCAACAACTGATTGCAACTGCCCCGTTTCACCTGCTATAAATAGGGCCAGATATCCTTATGTAAAGAGAATCAACACTTCGATTTAAAAACACTCTTAGCAAGTACTTCTCAGCAAAGTCGTCTTCCTGTTTTTGAGAGCTCCAACCCTGTAAGGGAGTTCTCCACAGAAATGGCCAAGGGAGTTCTCCACAGCAAAGTCATCTCCTTCTCCCTTGGCCAAGTCTTTACAGTTTTCTTAGATTAGATTACTGTTTTCGTTTACAGCTTTGTAGCATTAGCCTTTTCATGCTTTCGTAGAAGATAATAAAATATCATCATGTTCTTCATCCTAAATTCTTCCACCATTTTTACACACTTATATAAAGTTTAAAATTAAAGAATTTTATATCACTGGTTTAGAGCTAGAGAAGAATTGATTATTTGAGCCTTGTTATGCGCCAAAAGCGGTCTCAAGGTAGTTCAATGTAGTTAAGTACGCGGGAGCCTTGTTGACCTGCTTAAGTGCTGTTCTGAATTCAATTTTGATTAAAAAGAGGTAACATAAGGGTAAAGCCACTAATGAGGCAGATTTCGGGAAAATTAACGGGACATAGACGGTGGTCTATTAGGTCACAGAGATTCCTAGTGACAGTAGGGTTTCTTTCCTATAATATCTTGAATCTGGGTGTCATTGAAGTCTTTTTGTAAATCCCTTAAGGTAAAAAATTCCAGTGTTATGAACTCTTTATATTCAGTTTATATAATTACACTACTTCCTTCTCACCGCTTCCGTAAATACATATATTTTCGATAATACAACTTCATCGCTCGCTCATTGCCTCCAAGGAAATCTATCCATTTAGTAACGCACAGTTCATACACAACATCTCTACTTCACTCTCGGTCGCTTATCTATATATATATATGTATACATATAATGTGCCGCTCGCTCATGTCCCGATCACTCGGTAACCGCCATTCATCCATTTCCCGTTCATCTGGTCCCCACTTCCGCTCATGTCCCGATCATCTAGTTATCGCTGGCACTTCACCTTCCGCACTCGCTTCGCTCACCTCCGCTCACTCCATTTTTATCGATTTAGTTACCGCTTTTTATAGTCTAACTTTTGGATCCGCTGCAAGCGGATCCCTTTATGCTTTTTCGTCGCTTTCTCAAGATTTTCACCGTTGAAATTCATGACTTAAAATCCTTGTGTTCGACCTGGAAACTCACCAGTAAAAATAGTATAAATAATTATGATGACTACTCAGGGTCTACAACCACAAAAATTACTATATCTGATCGTTTTCTACAAATTTCCACTCACTGATTCCAAATATAAATTCCCTGTGAATTGTGTAAACACGCACACATTTTAGCCATCATCAACAATGTAAATGACAGAAAGCTGAAGGAGTTGGCGGTCTTGGAGTCGGAGAAAGCAATCTGTACCCAAAACTTCTTAGATGAGAAATAGCGAGCTGAGGACGAGACGGCATATGTAGAGGGTCTGCGCGTTGAGAAGGTGGCTCTGTGGGTTGAATTGAGCCGAATTCAAGAAAGGTTGAAGGAGATTCCACCGGAATTGGATCGGGTGTTGGCGAGCCTCGCCGCCAGGGCCTCTCGGAGAATGGAATTATATGATCGGACGCAGCCTTTGGATGAGCCATTGTCTAGGCTTCGCGGATAGAAGATCGTCTTTGAGAAGAACTTCTAGCGAGCCGAGAGAGGATTAGAGGAGCTGGGTTTGGCCTGGACTGATATGATAGCCCAGTGGACCTCTTTGAGTCCCGAATGGCTGAAGCCAACCGACCCATGCTCTCCGGAATTGGTCACTACCAGTCGGGATGAGGCACCATTGATATAGTATCTGCATCACCGGCCGATGGTGCTTTTGTTGCCAATGTCAGGCTTGTGGATATCAGTGTTAGCCGAAAGTTGGCTTAGATGACCCTCATGTCGATTGATATATCACCTTGTGTAGCTTGCTTTTCGTGTGACTTGTTATGGCTTGTTTTTTGTTCCTTTTGTGTTAATCTGCAAGTACATGGGATGAACACAACATGACACATGTTTTGTTTTGATGATGATTGGCTTGATGTGCGCTTTCCTTTTTTATTTAATTGCTCTTTACGCCTTGATCATCCCCGAAATATTTATAGCCTCAAATCTTCTAGTTAAGCAGATCCCTCTCTTTCCAGTTACCATATAGAGGGATAAAATCTCTTCAAATGTTTCCCATTAATGAATGTCTTCAATTCTTCTCCCTCGGGTTTCATCAGCTAGTATGCACCGCCAGATGACTTAGCTGATATGATAAAACGACCTTTCCCATGTGGAGGACCATTTCCCCAGCCTTGCATCTTTGGGACGTTCCGAAATGACAACCTTCCACACTATGTCACATTCCTGGAAGGTCTGAGGACTCACGCACTTCTGAAAGGTCGATTCGGTCTTCTTCTTTTGATGTTGAATGCGTTCAAGAGCTTGCAGTCTCTATACGGGAGAGACGTCAAGCTTCTAGAGTAGGGCCTAGTCCTACTCCCCTATCGGCAGCTGATTCATCTTCAATATCCAGAGAGAAGGCTCTATAATCTCCAACGGAAGCACATCGTCATGGTTGTAGGTTAGCCTATAAGGAGTGCTCCCAATTACGAAGGATTTGACATTTCAATATGCCAATAAAGCCTCTTCCAAAGTATCATGCCAACCTCTCGAATTGTCTCCACCCTTTCTTGATAATGGAAATCAAGTTTTTGTTCGTCGCATCGGCTTGCCAGTTAGCCTGAGGGTAGTACGGAGAAGAATGAAACAGTTGAATTCTATATTGGGCTATAAAACCCTTGACCTTCGCGCTCATAAGCGCGGTCCCTTGCGCTCATGTTTCAATTGTTGTGGCTTGTACTTCTTTCCTATTTGTTCCTTAAGCTTAGTCGAAATTCGGTACCATATTGGTTGGGAGAATCCCCTTAGTGCATGTTCCGCAAAACACAAAATTTCTATGCAATACTTGTAAAAGCACAACATACAACTTTGCATCCCTATCCAAGTAATCTCTATCATTGATTGTGGCATTTAGTATCTACAATGTCACATCTTTAATACCAATAAAATGTTGCACTACGGGATAACCAAGTAAAGAATAATATACACATGCGAGGAAATATATTTGTAAGAATGTATGTGAAGGCAAAAAGAATAGTATTATTACAATGACCCCGTATTTTTTCGGTATGGGATGATTTGAAAATCTGGTTGAGCTCTAGGCATATTAAACCGTTTGAACAGGGAGATGAACATGGTCAAGTTAGAACATGGCCTTGATTGTGAATAAGACCGTGAGTATAGCCACGTTAGAAACAAGACGATGAACATGACAGTGAACATGCATGATCATGTTAGAAACACGATAGAAACATAGCCGTCAGCACGGCTGTGTTCAAATATGATCATGTTCAAACACGGTCGTATTCGATTGAACCCGACTATGTTGACTGTTTGTAAAGTTTAGTGAATTTTCTAAGTCATCCAAGATATTCGTATTCAAGCCAATATGGCTTGTGTAGTTAGGTACCAACTACAATAATATTAAAATTGATTAATTTTAATTTGAATTGAACCAAAATTCAAAAAATAAAAATAAAAATTAATTTGACCAAATTAATAATTATAATTTATAACGAGACCAAAAATATTTTTGTTCACTTTATTATAAATTATAATGAATTATGCATAAATTAAAAATAAATAAAATAGCATAATTATTGGAACCGAAAGAGTATAATTCAAAATATAATTTTGATTATAGATTTTCGCAAAATTTAAATATGATTCCATAAATTGTTGATACGATTATTTAACAATGATAAATTCAACACGCAGGATGCAAAGCATATTCAATAGACGAAGCCAAGCAATTCCATGTGTTGTACAATCATAGGATTGATTACAGAGACAATTAATTAAGTTCACGCAAATGTCACAAAAACAACCAACAGATTAGACGACGTCTTCCAAATTCCAGTCAATGTTTTCAATATATCATACTGTATGTAAAATCAACGAATCCCTGCTGTCTTTAAACACTAGGTTCATACCAATATATATATATATATATATGCATATATACATATATGCAACTAAAAGTCGGCATGTCTCGCTTTGCGTCGGCTACCACAGTGAGTGCAATCCGTTAAGGAAAGAAATAAGAACCTTGATATGATGTTCTGTTTCAAGGAACAAGCACGGCAGCTTTGTTTGGGGCATTCTTCGCAGCAAGTTCTTCAAGACGTCTCCATGTGGTTTCACGTCTCTCTCTGATCTCAGCTTCCTTTGATTCATTTTCTTCGAACTTCACTTGGCAGGCCTTGAAGAGGTCAGGGTCGAGATCATAGAAAATCTTGCGGACATTCAGGGTCAAGCTATGGACAGCCTGGTTCCAGTGCTGTCTTGCATTTTTCTCCAGTGCAGGGAAGATGATGGGGAGTATAACCTTGCGATTTAGCTTGATCAAGTTCTCGATGTGATCGTTGTTCCACAAAAATAAAGCCCTCTCCGCCACCTGCAAGAATGCATTATTAGCTCTGCTAAATGGGTCCGTAGCCCAACAATATGATTCGAAGAAATTAGGACAGAAGTATTTAACTATTGATTACCATTGATAAATCAAGATTTTAGTGCAATCTCAAACCGAATTACAATCTTGTCAACAAACAGCAAGGGGAGTCTCTTCAATAAATTCAGGTATATTTGTCTAAGCTTGTTAGGACAGTGTTAGAACAAATTTGATCCCCTCATCCCCAGCAATTGAATTATGGCGTTTTGGTTGTTTAGTTTATTTGTAAAAATGAGGCATAAAAATAATGTATCAAATTCTGTTCTACAGAATCAAGAACCTCCAAAATAGAACACAGCAGATTCTCAAGAAAATCGGACAATCATTTTTCTGCTTCATCATTCAAATTTCGGCCTCAATACATAGAAACAGGTGGGCGTTAAAATATTAAACAGTTAAACCGAATAGATTTGAAACAAACAATACGGCTTGTTTGCTTTAATCAAACTAAACAAATACACCAATATTGGCAGGCTCAATACCAAACAGAATATAAACATAGGGCCGGTGTGTTTTTTTGAGTGATTTGATTTGGTTTTCACTATTCCCAATTTATTCCACCAAAATATCAAAATCAAATACCTATTTTCTATTTATTAGATTACACTAAAAATCAATTTTTATATTCAAAATATCGCATCAATTCCTACTAATATCACATCAAATAACTATTCAAAGTTATACTATTTAAATCAAAACCCAAAATCAAATCACCCAAACAAACACTTTGGAGACTAGGAATACTCGTAAACAAAAAGAAGTCTTGATCTTAATGCATAATATAAGTTGATAAATTTTTGGATGAATTTAAGACATCATGATGAAATATGTTAGTAAAGGCAATTCTGTATGTAATTTGATTGAACATAGGGAGTTAGTTAACACTCTTAAGGTAGGAAGGCCTGATTTTTATTAATCAGTTTGCAAGCTAATGTCATCTTAATTTAGATTTACATGTTCTAATCGTTTTCCACAAATTGCACATCATAAAATCTCATAAAATATTTGCAATAGTACAATTTTAACCAAACACAATCCCATAGAACAAAAATCTCAACAAAGCAAAAAGACAAAGGAGATTCTATAAATGTACCATATAAATTTTTCATAAAACATCAAGAGGGTAATCCAGGGATACATTTCTTCAACGTTAGTTTTTACCAGAAACTAGATTCTAAAAATCCACTTAGCGAAATCACCTTGCGTAACAATCAAAATCCTACCACTATGAAAAGTGGTAGCAAACATGAAAACAAGCGTCAATTACTGCAAAGTGAAAAGGGGAGGTAAATATAAAACACGCCATCTGTTACGGAAAAGTATAACATAAATAACTTCCAAGTAAAGAAAAACATGATTCATCTTGATGACGATATAAATATAGGATAACACATAAGTGTGATGAATTAAATTGCTAGACAAAGTCATACTTGGTGAAATTTGACTCCAAGATCTAACAATCTATTTTTGTCATTACACAAATTATTATTATCAAAAACTACAAGGAGATCATCAATCAAGATTAATGCAAAAGAAAAAGTAAAATTTTTATATACCACCACAAATGGCAGCCACGAACTACATAAATCAACAGTGATCCATCAAACTGAACAAGTATCGGAATCAGCTGACATATTCCTTATTTGAAAGGTCAACTCCTGCTATTTGAATGATCACGTATGGAAAAAAGTGCATAAACTGCCAAAAACAGTATTACAAATATAAACAGCACCATAAGCATAATAAGAAGTACCTGAAAGTGCAGACTGTTCATGCTGCGTGAAATTTGATGAAATAAAGGCACCATGCAACGTTGGAATTCCGGAGCTTGTGTGATTTCCAAGACCTCTTCTAGCTCATTAAGAAACAGAACTTCTTTCGAGCTGTTGGTCACCGGCCAGTACTTCAGAAGTCCAGTGATAATAACATCAGCAAGCTTACAGTCTTTCTCAGCAAATTGTGTAATACAGTAGGATAATTGCTGATGGTACATTGCCAAACACTTGGGTTTGTGCAAGGGAATCAACGTCCGCACAAGAAAGAGTTTGTGCTCTTCTTTGAGAGGCAAAGCGAATCCATTAATTATGCTGCCGAGCACTTCAAGAAATTCAGCAATACCATTGTGTTTCTCCGTCTCAAATATGAAATGATAGAATATATTATTGATAGCTTTCCTGATGAATGGCCTGTGCACCATGAATTTCCCATAAATCCGATGCAGTATGGTTTTCAAATACTCCCTCTCCCTGGGATCTTCGGAGTCGAAGAGATCAAGTAATTTTAGAACAAAGGAATGATCGATATACTTTTTGGCAATTTTTGCTTCAGTTTCAGTCGAAGCGATGAATCTTAGAAAAAATTCGTACACAACTTGCAGATGAGGCCAAGCTGGATCCATTGCAGGCTCTTCTTCTTCCAAATCGACTCCATCTATTAACTTGTTCTCTCTCGGCTGAGGCATAAACTCTCGAAATATATTCGCCGATACCATTCTGACAATTTCCTGCATTGCAGTTTCCGTAAATTTCCCATTTGTAGAAGTGATGAACTCCACTAACTCCAACAAAGTCTGCCGCTTAATCTCTTTTTCTTTAATGTTCTTCGTAGGATCGGTGAAGTCAAATCCAACACAACACATCTTCACCTTCCTAATAAACAAGTTCTGCTTTTCAGAAGTCGGAACATCCCTAAAACTCGGCAATGCTTCATAGGGCACAGAATCTAAATTCCCATTCAATCTTCTGAACCCCCCCTTATCTCTAACAACCTTGTCTTCTGAATTACTTCCGCTGCTTAAAACCGACTGCGGGGCTGAAATTATTTCGTCACTAGCATTTCCTAATCTCCGATTTCCTCCACTTTTCCTCGAAGCAGCCGACGAACTCGAAGAGGAATTAGACTCCCCAGCAGATTTTGAGTTCTTCCTGGGAAGCTTACCCAATATTTGCTTGATCATAGTTTGCTCAATCACCCGAATTCCGCCCTCCAAACTTCACAAAGTGCGGTGATAAATTTAACTCCCCAGAAGAACCCAACCCAATCCTTTTAAAACAAACACCAAAGACCTATCGCTAAAGAAAGAAACCCTAAAGCCAGATACGGTATGAATAAAGCGAGTCTCGACCTAAGATCAGGAATTCTGATGATGTCTCGATCAGTTCGAAAGTGATCTCATCTTCTCTGTCATGCCTCAAACAAAAAATTCCCATTTCCACGAAAGCTAGTGCGTAAACATTGCGCCATTTGACTTTAAACTCCGCAGCCAATTTTTGCTCCGAAAGCCCCACCCGCGTAAGCCACGGAAATAGCAGCAGCAGCAGCAAATTCAATCGATCAACCCCACTTCAAAGACAAATAAGATAATAAATAAACAGCGCATAAACCCTCCGCCGCGACGGAATACTTAAGATTTTCTGCTGAAACGGAAAAAGGGAAACGATGGGGAAAAAGGAACCGGAAGAAAGATAGCTTACTGTGGAAGAAGAGTTGCGAGCGGAGAATAATTCGACTCGGGGAACACAATCAATCACGAACCTTTTCCTTGAACCCCTTTTACCATTAGTGCTTTATAAACTCTCCTTCTTCCCCCTTTAGGCTTCTGGGTCGATCCCAGGAATCATTTCATTTCGTGGACTATGTAATGATTTTTCCTTGTCGAACTTGAAACTTATTTGATTTTTTTTTTTTTTTTTCATTTTAATAAGGTTTTTGTTTCTGTTTTTGTTTTAAAAAAAAAAAAACAACAACAATTGTATTATAATTAGATTTTTATAATAAAAATAAAATAACTTATTTTCTCAAAATTTCGTTGGAAAGTTCTCTCTCCTGATCAACTCTATTTATTCAGTTTTAAGTCTAGTACTTCCTAAAGTAATTTTACTTCAACCATAACTCAATTTTTCACTATTATTCTTCAAATATTCAATTTTTCCTATTATTTTAAACAACTTTTTGTTTTTATAATTTAAAATAATTTTTAAAAAAATAAAAAATAAATTTAAAAGTTAAAATAAAAAATTCAAAAATTTTAAATAAATAAATAAATAGATAATAGGAGCAACGCCGTGCAACGCAAATTTTTTGCGCACGTATATCTACCGACCCAGCGCCATTAAATGATGCTGGGTTGGAGATGGCCTAATAAGAAACTCCCTCCGGACAGTTTTTTTTGAAATAGATTGATTTTTGAGATGATAAAAAAAAAAAATTGTGCTAAAAATATAAAATATATTATTTTAAATTGAATATTTGATTAATACTCCCTCTCTCCTTTAATCATCTATTCAATTTTTTTATTTTGGTATGTCCAGTAACAAAATATTCATTTTTTTTTTTTTAGTAATTATACTATCTAGCTAATATTAAATATTCTTCCAATTTACAATATATTACACAAATGTCATTATATTTATATCATACAATACTAGTAAGGTTAATTTAGTCTTTTTACCTTTATTTATACTTTATCCCAATATAATACTAATATTTCTAAAACTCCGTGCAAAAAGCGGATATATAGATATGCAACTGAGGGAGTATTACATTTGTGCCAAGAATACTACTCCCTCCTTCCCACATATCATGTCCACGTTGCCGTTTCTGTCCGCCACGTACCATATCACTTTCATTTTTGAAAAATGATTACACACTTTAATCTCATTTTAAACTTTTTAATTTTATTTTTTTAAATTTTTTAAATTAAACTAATGAGTTATCTTAATCTTACTTTTATAATTATTTATATTATCAGATAATTATTTTCACTAATACATTCTTAATTATCTACTAATTACACTCCTTCCTAAAATACCTTGTCTACAATATAGCAGACACAGTATGTGGGACGAAGGGGGTATTTTTTTTTGGATTATTGTAATTAATATTAAAAATATTAGTATGTTTAAATAATTTACTTTATAAATATAATTTTATATGATAAAAGATTAATAGAGATATTTATTTTTTATTTATGCTTAATCTTCAAATATATACAAAAAGTCAATGATACTTTTATTTTATCCAAAAAATAAATAGCTGTGGTTTTAATTTGAAATGATTATAACAAAAAAAAAAATCATTATACAAATTATTACAATTTTATAATACAAAATATATATTTGATCCAAACAAAACATATCTCGTTCTTGAAATTATTTACTTTCTCCTCCCATTAAAATTAACTCATTTGAATGTGACACGAAGACTAAAAAAATGAATATATTATTGAAAAGTGATATCTAGTTTGAGATAATTTTAAAAATTTAGTTGAAAATCAAAGTAAACGAAGAAATAATGTAATAAAATTTATGGTATTTATTATAAATAAACAGTGAATAGAGAATAATAATTAAATATTAATTTATTAATTTTATCAAAATTAGTAATTGAATAAATTTAACCAGACAAACTAAAAAAAAAAAGTAAAAATAAATTTAGGGGATGAAAAAAGTATATTTTATTAAACTATTGAGATTATTGAAGTTCTATTTTTCATTATAAATAATTTATTTAAATATATTACTATATTTCTCAAAAATATGTTATTCCCTCTCCCTCTATTATATTATAAAATGGTCCTTTTCTTTTTTATAATGAATTACAAAACCATAGAAAATGTTAGATTATTTAACATTTGTATGATATTTTTATAATTTGTACAAAAATATATGTATTTAGGTATTTATATCATATCTTCGTCCGCTCTAAGTGTTTCATTTATTTTTTTGTGATGATATTTGTATATTAATTATTATATTAAAATGTAGTAAAAATTAAGAAAAATTGTAAAAATACTTCCATCAATGTCTTATAATACTAATAGAATAAATTTTGTACAAAAAATTATACAAATACTTATCATATTTTTAATGATAAGTACTTAAATTTGATCAAAGGAGGAAGCATGAAGTATTTTTATTAAGAAATAATACTTTTTTTAATGAGGAAAATAAAAATAATAAAAAAAATATTTTCAGTTGATAGCCTATATTTTACTATGAATTTTAATAAATGATTGTTACAGTTAAATAAATTATAGAGAAATACTTTAATGAGATTCAAAATTTTAATTCAAGCCTCTAATTTAATTCGACTATTTTTTATTTTTAATATATATTTTTAATGATTTTATATATATATTTTACATTTAAGTTTTTATTTCCTTATAAAAATTATATTTATTTTGTATTTTTGAATGAATATATTTTTATATTGGGTATGGAGAATTGTGTTAATAATATAAAATATAGTAATATTTTGTGTAAAATCATTCACTTTTTATGAGTGAGTAAAGTATATATTATGTTAATATATTTATATTATATTTTTTTAATAATATTTATAAGAATCATTCGACTTAAAAATATTAGTGAACAATTACTTTTAGTAGTATATTGTTTTACAACAAATATTATATACTCTCTCATATTCATAATATTTCACATTATTGTTATTTTCATTTGTTTCAAAATTATTAACATCTTTATATTTAAAGTAAAATACATTTATTCAAAATATAATTAATAAATATAACTCAATTTCAACTTCACGACACATTACATAGTCTAGACTCACTTAAAATATTATGTTTATATCTCTATTTTCAATAAAGAAATATATTTATAGATTTAAATTTCTTAATTTTATAAAATTAATTTAAGAAAATTATAAATAAATATAATGTTTTATTATTTATTTCTATAAAATAAAAATTTATTCTTTATGATATTTATATGTATATTATATTGATATATAATTTTTAAAAATATTTATAAAATGTATATATTTTAAATTTCTTTTAATCGAATGTATGATATTCATAATTCAAATATTAATTAAATAATTTTTTTTCAACCCAATTTACAATTTATATTTGAAACAACAACTAATATACGAAATGCTAAAATATAACAATAGTATGCGTATTTTGGTATACTAAAAATTTCAAATTATATGTTGTCATATTAAAAAGTTCAATATGATATCATACCAAAGTATTTTATATTTCCAGTATTTTTCGATACGGTATGTGCAGTATTTCAATAATTCAGTATTTTTTTTCCACTTCTAAATGTATTAATATTATTTGAATCTAATTGATTATTCTGTATTTCGAGGTTTTATTTATCTAAATATTTTCTCCATTCATTTTTTTTAGTTGTTATTCTTTGATGTTCTTTTATTGGAATTAAAATTCAAGCTTTTGTATATGTGTGTTTACTCATAAGATTTGACACCTGATTTTACTATTCTATATATTTTTTTTTTTAAAAAACGTCAAACTAAGTACCTATTTATTTTTTATTATATTACATTAAAATTAAATTTTATATTAAAAACATCGTAGCAATATATATTGATATCAAATTAAATAACTATTTCAATTCAAAATAAGTAAAATCTTACAAATAAACACACTTTGTTATGTTTTTTATTTGTATTTAAAAATATTATACACCGTATTTTATTCCAAACTAATTGTTTAATTGAATAGTTTTTCTTTCTATTTAATCCCCATTTTAAAATAGATAAATTTTATTTGTAAGCATTAATTATGGTTAAATTAAATAAACTTAATTTATAACCAAGCTAATATTAGATAAAATAAAATGTAATATCTCAAAGCTAATAGTGATATGAGTCGGTGACTAGGGGTGAGCATTGGTCGGTCCAAACCGAAAAAATTGTTCGGTTTAATTTGTTCGGTTAATTGATTTGATTTGGTCCAAAATCGAATTTATAAATTTTGGTTTCGGTTCGGTTATGGTTTTCAATTTTCAAACCGAAAAAACCGAACTTTACATTAAATAATTTTAAATATTATACTCCCTCCGTCCCAAAATTATAGTTTGAGTTGTGTTTGACACGTGATTTAAGAAATATTGATATTATATTGGTAGTGGATAAAAAGTACGGGTAAAATACTTTTTTGCCCTTGTGAGTGTATTAGTGTAAAAAGTAGAGACAATTGTGTAATTATAATGAAAAAGTAAGACTAGTTTTATAATGATATGATTATTTATGAAATGAGACTACTGTTTTGGAACGGACAAAAATAGTAAATAAGACTATTGTATTGGGACGGAGAGAGTATATATTATAACTTTAATAATTGAATTTTGATCATTTGAATTTTATTTTGATTATATGTTAATATTTGAATTTCAAATTGACCGTCATGTCCTCACTCACCCATTTAAAAATTGAAACCCTAATTTTCTCAATCATCAACAACCGACAACCCCCTTTTTAGCCTCTCTGTCTGCGTCCGCTATTCTCAATCTCTCTTCTTCACGAATCAACGGTGTTATCTACTTTTTTTCTCGTCGGAGAAAAGCAAAACAACGTCTAAAGTTGCTTCTAAACTTTTAGTTGCCAAGATTGTTTCAAAATCGAAGAGAGTTATTTTTTAAATTATTTAATTTAATTAACAACACAAATGCACAATTGCTACTTTATTCTTTTTGTCGATAGTCATATTTTTTAATTTTGAATTCATTCATGTTCTTATTATTTTAATTTTATTTTGTAATTTTTTTTTCAATCAAACAAACTGATATTTATTATTTTATTTATATTTCCAAATTATGAGTTCATGTAAAGTGAGGACTTCAGAAAAACTACACGAGTATGTTGGATCCC